GATAACTTAATAGTTCTGCCAAGGCCACATGTACACAAATATCTGAACTAGAAAAGCTGTTTCCATGGTTCACTTTTTTCCAGAAATATCTGACTTCACAAGAGGAAAAAAATCAACTTATATTAAATAGCAAATTCTGAGTTAAACCAAAGGAAAACGTCCCATCCAAAGGACCTACATTACTGAATTTATTAAATAAAAGGCCCTTTATTATTTATGTCTATTGAAGAGACACATTCTAAATCCTGAAAGAAACAGCAGAGGGAGACAACTAAGTAGAAATCTAAAGGACACAGAGAAGCTGGTTACGAGAAAGTGAAGAAAAAATAGCAGCTACTAGGACAGCATAAGCATGGCTAGGAGGGAGGAGAGCAAATGTGTTAACGGAACGAGGAGTTCAGAAACTGTGACACTAGCGAGCTGGGGGGCGACAAGGTGTGAGCCTTGAGGAGTAAGCAGCCCTCAGATCGTGGAGGCTGGGTATGCAGACTACCACCAGTTCACAATGATATAGTCCATCCTCCTCATTCACTGGCTTCTGTATTTGGGAAAATGAAATTATGAATTCAGCCTTGCAAATATATATATATATTTTAACATCTTTATTGGGGTATAATTGCTTTACAATGGTGTGTTAGTTTCTGCTTTATAACAAAGTGAATCAGTTATACATATACATATGTTCCCGTATCTCTTCCCTCTTGCGTCTCCCTCCCTCCCACCCTCCCTATCCCACCCCCCCATCCCATCCCTCCAGGCGGTCACAAAGCACCGAGCTCATCTCCCTGTGCTATGCGGCTGCTTCCCACTAGCTATCTACCTTACGTTTGGTAGTGTATCTATGTCCATGCCTCTCTCTCGCTTTGTCACAGCTCACCCTTCCCCCTCGCCATATCCTCAAGCCCGTTCTCTAGGTCTGTGTCTTTATTCCTGTCTTACCCCTAGGTTCTTCATGACATTTTTTGAAGGTCTGTGTCTTTATTCCTGTCCAGCCTTGCAAATATTGTGAGGTATCTATGGAACAACTAAGCACAGACAACCCATAGCTGTCAAAATCACTATTATTAATCCTGAATTTTACCAAAAATACATGACTAAATGATTAGATTATGGAGTAAGAAGGACAGAATTAAGAGACAACATCCTGCAACTATGGACTGAACAGTTTTCCATTGGGAGGCACAATGGAAACAGTATCTCCAAGCCTCTGTCTCCGCATCTGTAAAACAGAAACGCCATCAGCTACCTTGCAGGGTTACCAGAGGAAATTCTAATCTTTTTTCTGGAGAAAGCTCCAGCTTATAAACATCACGGTTATCAAGGGCTGGAAGGCTTATTGGGTGGTCAAGAGATGGGACTAGCAGTTTTGTTAGATCAGAAAAAATGTCATGGTCATTAATCCAAATATTTATGAGTAGGTGCCTTGTGCCAAACATTAAATGCTTTACATATATGAGCTCATTGAATCTTTGCAAAAATCCTGAGGAGACACTTATCACCTCCATTTTAGGGATGAGGAAACTGAGGCAGGTCACAGTAAATAAGCAGTACAAACACAGGTGCCTCTTATACAACTGAGTAAAAGTGATCATTCATTTCTAGAGATAATACATGGATATTAGGAGAAAAGAAGGAAGGCTGGAATAAGTGAGGAAGGAACGAAGACTACACAGTTAAAAACAGTGGAAGGAATGCTACAGAAATCTGACCACAAAAACACCCCTTAGTGATGGAACCTCCCTGAGTGGAAAAAAAATCTGTCTCAACACCAAGGTTTCCTCATACCCAATCTTTCTTAAGATTCTATGCCCTTGCTCTTTTACTTTCCGGAGAGCTTTTTTTTTTTTTTTGATCATCTCTATCCTCCTGGTTCCTCAACCGTATCAGCGGAGTCAGGGGTCAGAGTAAAGGCTCTAGAGCAAACTTCAGTAATGGTCGTGTCATTTACCAACTTGTTTATCAGCTTGTGCATTGGGGGAGCAAGATAAAACCTCTCTGTGTCTCAGTTTCTTATAAGTAAAATGAGGATAATAATAACCCTGTCTCACACGGTTGTTGTCAGAATTAAAGTGATACATAGGGAGCTTAGAAGAGTACCTAAGCTAATATTATTGTTATTATTACCTAATTCCTCTAACAGTATAGTACACCCAAAATTTATGGTGCTACAAGTTTATTTGGAAGTTGGTTATCTGGAAAATTGAATTCTTTCCTTCTGAAACACAGTTCAAGTGGGGAACGACTCTCTGTCTTCCCTGTACTTTGCTAGTGCAATTCCTAAAAGAGTTTTGCAATTGCCTGATTGTTCTGGCTCTCTATGGCAGTCACCATACAGTTAGCAGTGATGTTTATAAACATGTGTCACCCTCTTGCTTAAAAGGTCTCAAGTGCTCCATACTGCCTACAAATAGAGAATCCTATTTCCTTCATATGGCAAGCAAGGTCCTTTACAATCTGGCTTTATCCTCTGTTCCTAGTCTCAGTGACTCCTCTGAAGAGCTAGAGCCATAGCCAACAATTCATCTCAACCTAACCAGCCATGTGTTTTAAGAAGCTGCATGCCACTGTATGTGCTTTTCCTATGTCTGAGAAAACTGTCCTCTCCACCCCCAGACTTAGAAAACTAAGGCTTCGATGAAATGACACCTTACTTATCCATATTCATTCAGCAAGAAAATGTACTTAGTACCAAAATGTGTAAGGAAGGCCCTATGAAAATAAAGATACATAAGACATCGTTCCAGCACTTGAACTTATATCCAAAAGGAGAGAGACACGTTAAAATAAAATAATAATACAGTACATTGTAAGTAATATGTATCAGATAGAAGGAAGCAACGCCTAGGCTGGGTTCTATAGGATATGGATTTCTCTGTCTCCATCCTTACCATTTTTAACTGGACCAGGATCATGGTAACTATAACCTTTATAATGAGCTCTTAATAATACTCAATACATTGTATTACAGTCCTGTGTTTAATATCTATCTTCCCGAAGACTAATTCTAGGGCAGGAATTTACTCATCCTTTGTATCCTCAACACCCAGAGGGTGACCAGAATACAGAAGAACACAATTGTTCACTGAACTGAATTGAATAATAAGGTCTCTATATTAGCCAAAAGCCTTCTTAACCCAAAATGTAATTGAACTATAATAGCAAGAGAACCCTAGAACCTAATCATATTTACAATAATGCACTGAGAAGTCAGGACAGCTCTAACTTGAAATTATCCAGTACTTGAATAGAGAAATCTACTTTCCACCTAAATCTGTAAGCAATACTGATATTCTGCTCCAAATGCAGTAGTATTTCTTTCTCTGACAACCCCACAGGAACCAGTCTATTGAGTTCAAAAAATATTGGGAGGGCTTCCCTTGGTGGCGCAGTGGTTGAGAGTCCGCCTGCCGATGCAGGGGACACGGGTTCGTGCCCTGGTCTGGGAAGATTCCACATGCCGCGGAGCGGCTGGGCCCGTGAGCCATGGCTGCTGAGCCTGTGCGTCCGGAGCCTGTGCTCCTCAACGGGAGAGGCCACAACAGTGAGAGGCCCGCGTACAGCAAAAAATATATATATATATTGGGAGGTGTTCCAATCCCTGCTCAATGAATTGTCTGTTTTCCTTAACTCCTTTGGCAGGAGATAAGGATTCCAATTACCTAGGGACTCCAGTAGTATATGACAGTTTCTTCTTCTTAGTCCTGGAAGTCGAGGTTTATTCACTTATTTACTTAAATAGCTGCGAAGGATCCACAGCACGGCAGGCACTGTCTTAGGCACTGGGTACAGAGCAGTCTCTCCTCTTATGGAACTTACCTTCCAGCTGGGAGAGACACACAGCAAATATACAGTATGCCAGAGGGTTTGAGAAATGCTGAGGAAAGTAAAGCAGGGTAGTAACTCAAAAAGTGAAGGCAGGGAGACACGGAGAAGAGTAGGGGTGTACATTAGATAGGGCGGTCAGGGACGAGTCTCGCAGACAAGGCATTGAATCAGAGACTGAAGGAGTGAGCGAGCGAGAGAGAGCCATGCAAGCATCTGAAAAGTATTCTAGGCAGTGACACCAGCAAGTGCAGAACCCACGGTGTGAGAGTTATGTTTAACATGTATAACAAACCACAGGACATCAATGTGGCTATAGTAAGGGGCAGCGCAGAGGGGCAGATGACGAGAGAGATGCCTGAACTAGATCATACACAGGCTAAGGACTTTGGATGTTATTCTGAGATGGGTGGCCACTGGCTCATCTTGAGCAGATAACTGACATGATCTGAGGTACATTATAAAAGAATAGGTCTGGCTGTTACAAAGCTCTAGACAATACAAAGGAGCAATCACTGGCAGTAGTAAGTCAGGGGTCGTCTGCGACCCCTTTAACCTAAGAAGCTAGCGCCAAGAACGATGGTAAAGAGTAGAAGCATGGACACATCATGGTTGAAAGCCTTAAAATATATTTCCTTCCTTTCAAGAGCAAACGTCTCTGAGAGAGAGAGTTATCAACTGCTACTTTTAGCTATTCTACTTTAACCACCTACTCTTCTTTCATTTACTATCTCATCTCTTAACTCCCCAACAGATGCACGCATCTACCGCACAAGAAAATTCAAGTATACCATCCGTCTTCCTCTTTCGGCCTTTTGCTCCTTGCTCCATATGAGAACTAACTCATTCTTGTAATTCCAAATATCCCCCTTCCTTTCGTCCCTTGCTACTGTAAGCTTCGTTTTGCTGCTATAAGAAGGAGCAGTTTCATCTGTTTTAATTAATTACAGTGACGATAAAAATGTCTAATAAAAGAACTTGGAAGCTTTAACACGCAACAGGGACCCTTCCCTGAACACCACTTTCCCAAGCCTTCTCAAGGAGCCAAAGTCGCCCCTTCACCGTCCTGAGGAGACGAAATTCGGGCGGCTAGCGGCAAATGCATTCGCATCCCCTGCTTCCCGCAAACTCATGCCGGCCTTTCCTCTGAGCAGCCAAACTCAGCCCTAGTACGTTACCTTCATTATCGGTAGCATCTTTGTCCTTATCTTCCAGCTCCGATGCTGCAGCCGGGGATATCATTTTCATCTTCCCCTTCTTCTTTAGTGAATTTTTCAGCTTTTTCCCCGCACTCACACGTGACTCTCGAACGGCCGCGGCCATGATTCCTAACCGGAAGCGTTCCATGAGCGTTGCGTCCGGCTGTAACACAAAGGACTTCGGCATCTAGTTCCGGTGATACAAGGTTCCGGGGCGGTGCCATTTAGCCGGGAGTTCTTGGGCTGGAGGCTCACAATATGGATTGGAAAGAGGACTGATTGGTTGTCTTTACGTGCTATCTGCTCCAGTAAAAAACAATAATAATAATAAAAATCAGTGAATATACGTTCTCGGCCGACTCCTCTGCCAGCTCGCCCTTGTCCTGGTCCGCCGCCCCACTCTGACCCCAACCCGACCCGGTCCACTTTCATTTCCTCCCCACGGCTGTTTCCGTATCTGCTGCCGTATTTCATGTTGGTTTATGGTGTTGGACTAACGTCCGGAACGTGCCTACTAAACGCACTAGAAGGGAGGAAGCGAGGACAATCGCGTGAGGGGTCGAAATCTCGCTCTGATTAACTCCTGAGTGGCTTCCAATTGCAAGCCGAATAGAATCTCGCTTTCTTCCCTTGGGTCGCAGGTGTGAAGGGTTCCAGCCCCCACCGCTCCCTGCCACCTAGCTCCGCCCCGCCCGCTCAAGGCGTCCGACCGCGCGGTGGAGACCGAGAAAACAGCAGCTTTGCACTCGGCGGGCTGCTCCTGCCTCCCTCCCGGGGCCAGCTTCTCCCTGAGGTCAGCCTTTGACACCAGCTTTCCCAACCCTGCTTTCCCTCGAAGCTGCTGCCACAAGCTGCCCCTATTTCCTTTCCCTAACTTGTCGGCTCCTGGATAATAAGGACCATATATCATTCACTACCCTACCCCGGAGGCCAGCAACGGAGCCTGGCACGTGATAGGAACCCAAACATATTTTTGGAAGAAATGAATGAATGAATGAATGACAGGATAAAACCATTCACAAAGTTAATGAGTCAAACGGATAATGTAGCAAACTCTTACATCGTGTTCCATCGGCCAGGCGTATTCTAAAGACTTTCCCTAAGCTTAGCATTTTCCTGGAAGAGCATTTCTTGTTTTTCTTTAAAACCCAAAATTTCTAAAGGGGGGGGCACACTTCTTCTTTGGGTGCTGTTATCTCTCTGCTCCTTTTATCTGCTATTACTATCTTCTTTAGAGTTCTCTTCACGTCTTACTAGCCAATCCCTTGTTATTCCAATCCTCTGTTAAAGTTAACAATTCTGTATGTTAAACTTTACGAATCAAATTACTAAGTGGTTTCCATCTCCTTATTGGCCTTAACTGATACAAAGATCAGTGTTGTGATGGAAATATTATCAGTACCCAAATACTGTCCCCACCAGCCTGCAGCACCGTTAAACCGTTCCGTTAAGGTTTAGTCATTTTTAGAAGAGTGGGGGTATTCAGAGTAGAGTTCCTTGTTAAAAATGCAAATATTTATAGGGCGATAACAGATAAAACAATTTCTTCTGGATGATTTGTTGCAGCTTGGCTGATGTGAGTGCATTGAAGAGCTTTGAACTACTGGACATGGAACAGATGAGAAGGAGAGGTAATTGCACAGTGTATCCAGAGCAGGGGGTGCTGGGTCTGCAAGGTCTGCATGCTCTGGAAAGATATTCTGGGTTAAGTAATAATTCTTGTGTTCTCTACAGAGAAAGGAATCTATAAAAGGAGAGTGTAAAGAGAAAGAAGATATCTCAGAATCATAGGGAATATCATCAATGTTGCTATGTGGGAAGGCATAAGAAAGAGGGATGAGGATAGAGAGTTACGAGAAGAGCAGTGCTAGGTCTCTAAACACTAGTGGGACACATTCTCCAAAAGAAGTGATTGTCATCAAATGTGGACTCACAGGAAAAGAAATCATAACTATTTAATTGATTTGTCACTTTAACAAGAGATGTAAAGGAAAACTTAAAAAAAGAAAAAAAAAAAGAAATGATGTACTATATTCCTGAAAGACAGATCAAATTTTCTAAAGCAATTTATTTATTCCAACAAAAGTGCCATTGCAAAGTTTGGGGAGAAGAAAGGAAAAGAGCAAAGTCTTGATAAAATAATTCTAAGGTTCAAAATAAGTAAATGATAATAATATTTTTTAAAAAGAGGAGTCTTGAGACAAAGCTTGCCTGTTCAGGTATTAGAATATACTATACATAAAGCTACAATAATTAAAATGTACAGATCAAAAGAAAAAATAAGTGATAATGAAACAAATTCTAGAATATGTAAAAACTTCAAATATTATGCAGGAACTATCAGGAGGAAAAGAGAGAAGAGAAAAATCCTGCAAAACTTATTTTAGTAAAATTAACTGTTTAGTGAGAAAAGAAATTAGAGGCTCACATCTTACCCTAAAATTAATTCCAGAATTAAATATGAAATAAATATAAGGAAAATAAAAGAAGTGAAAGTCTGATTTATTGGATTGTAGAAACAACTTTCCAAGTTTAAAATCAATGGAAGTAATTCTGAAAAAGAGAACAATAGATGTAATTATATAAAAACCAAAAACTGTGTATCTAAGAAAATGACCAAAATATAAAGGTAAATAGAATGTGAATAAGACAGAAAATCGATTTTGAGATGACTACATGAAGAATTCATATGACTTTCACATCTGGTCAAGGTGGAGTAACAGGGAGCAAATTTATCCTCCCACCTGAAACAAAAAATAGACAAAATAAACAGAGCAACATTTTTCAAGAACCAGACATTAGATAATGAAGGATAATGACCAATGAGAGGTGGGAAACAAGCTAGGTGATCCCATGATCTCCTCAGCATACTGCTTGGAGAAAGTTTCCAGACCTGGGCACAGAGAGAGGGGAGCGAAGCTGAGCCTGGAAGACTTTTCAAGTTGGAAAGATACAGCTGAGAGTCAGGGAAGACCAAGGCAACTAGAGTTAGCAGGATAGAGTACCAGAGAGAAGAGAGACAACTCAGGAGATCTGTGAAGAGGCTCCCTCAGGGATTTAGGTCAGTACTGATCAACACATACATGTGAGAAACTACCCAAGAACCACCCAAAAGAATTAGAGTCAACAGCTACTTATGCTCACGTGGGACTGGGAATAGTGCCTATTCCCACCAGCCAGACTGGCAAAATCTCACAACTCACAGGGTATTGGTTAGAGCATCTATCAAAAACTTAAGGGTATGAGATTTTATCTTATTTGCAAGGTAACAAGAAGCCTGCCAAAATTTCACGAATGCTGGTAGAAAACACAAGACTTTTGGGTAAGAGTGGAAGGGCAGATTATTTATTATTCAGAGCAATAGCAGTAGCAAGAGTATCAGCAATTTTTTAGACAATTCTCCGAGCCCCACTGCAGAGTGACTCAAAAAGAGCTAGATAACATTTGCACATGCAATGGGTTGACTTACAGGAGAGGGGCTTGAGCTATTTACAATAGCATCAAAACCCACAAAATACTTAGGGGTAAAAGATGTGAAAGACCTATATGCTGAAGACTACAAAGCATTGCTGAGCCAAAATTAAAGAAGATCCAAATAAATGGAGAGGTCTACCATGTTCATGGATCAGAAGATGCAACATTATTATCAATTCTTCCCAAATTGATCTATAGATTCAATGAAATCCCAATCAAAATTCCAACAGACTTTTTTTGTAGAAATTGAAAATCCGATTCTAAAATTCATATGAAAATTCAAAAAACCTAGAATAGCAAAAAAACAAATGAAAAAGGACAAAGTTGAAGAGTTAGCACTATATAATTTCAAGACATTATAAGCCTACAGTTATTAAAATGGTATAGTATGGCCATCAAGTAGACAAATAGATCAACTGAACAAAATAGAAAGTCAGGAAATAAAAGCACACACATATATATATACTTATTTATATACTGATTCTCTCTCTCTATATATATATGTATATATATACTGATTTCTATATATATATACTGATTCTATATATATATACTGATATATATATAACGAAGAAAGATCTAAAATCAATAATCTAAGTTTCTACTTTAGGAAACTAGAAGGAGAAAAGCAAATTAAATCAAAGTAAGCAGAAGAAAAGAAATAATAAGCGTTAGAGCAGAAATCAATAAAATTGAAGGGAGGATCTCAATAGAGAAAATCGATGAAACCAAAAGCTGCTTCTTTGAAAAGATCAATAAAATGGATAAGCCTCTAGCCAGGCTAAGAATAAAAGAACTTCAAGAAGTTCAAAAATTACAAATATTAGAAACAAAAGACAGGACATCACTACAGATCGTATGGATGTAAAAAGTATAATAAAGGAGTACTATGAACAACTCTATGTCCACAAATTTGATAACCTAGATTAAATGGACCAATTTCTTAAAAGATACATTTTCCCCAGATTCACACAAGAAGAAATAGACAATCTGAATAAGGCTGTATCTCTCAAATAAATGGAATAGATAATTAATAACCACCCCAAACAGAAAACACCAGGCCCAACTGCATTCACTGTTAGGGACTGAATTGTGTCCCCAAAGTTCATAAGTTGAAACTCTAACTGCCAATGTGATTATATTTGGAGATAGAGTCTTGAGAGATAACTGAAGTTAAATCAGGGCCTATGGGTGGGCCTCAATCCAACAGGACTGGTGTCATTAAAAGAAGAGGAAAAGATACCAACGATGCATATACACAGAAAAGGTGGCCACTTATAAACCAAAGAGAGAAGCCTCAGGAGAAACCACCCCTGCTGGCACCTTGAAGCCTCTAGAACTATGAGAAGATAAGCATATGTTATTTAAGCCACCCAGTCCGTGGTGTTTTGCTACAGCAGCCCTAGAAAACTAATACTGCAGCCCTATACATGTCCTTCATTTTAGTAAGATAAATTGGATCATTGTTTAGGTCAGTTTATAATATAATAAGTCAGGTTTTCTGTTCTTTACATCCAAAAAACATTGCACTGGATACACTACATGACCTTGGTCAAGTTGCTTTACCTTCAAAAGGGTAAAGGTGTTTCCGTTTCCTCATATTAAAAATAAGGGAGCTGCACTAAATAAACTCTAAAAATCTTTTCAGCTTACATTTCTATGCCATTATAGAATA